GGAGAAGGGAGGCTGGGAGGGGAGACCTGGTGGCTGTTGGACTAGAAAAAAAAAAAAAATCCAGAATACTGTGGAGTGTTTCACCTTGTATTCTCCTCTAGTTCTGTCTTTAACATACGTGCCTGAAGAAGTGTCCAGCTCGTGGTTCTCGCTTTCCACGAGGAACCTGCTCACCCTTGCAGGGCAGGTGTGCCTGGGCCCCTTGCTGGGTGGCCCGGCGTTTGTCCTCTGCTGGTGTTTCCTGGCTGATGTTATCACTGCGCCTCCCGGCTCTTCTGGCCAGACCGGGAGCCTCACCCGTGGCCACTGCGTCTCTTTTCAGCCCACTTTTTCAAACGAGCTTTCCCTTCGAGTTTTCCTTTGGGGACGTCTCTATTTAGCCTCGTTTCTGTCTTCCCTGCTGTTTTATCTCCGCCTGCTGCTGCATATCTACTACCTATTCAGAAAGGTATGTACTGTTCGAAGTGTTCAGAACCACCTGCTGGTTTTATTCCGGTGCCCTTCAGCGGCCAACTTTCAGAACAGAACCCTGAAAACACCCTGATGCTGCGGTCTGTTTCCCCAAACAGGATACGCACACGTTGATTTTTAAGGACCGGCTTCTTATAGACTACTTGCTGGGTGTCAGGCATTTAGAAAATGAGCAACGTTTGCAAGGGAACATGTTTCTGCCTATTCACATGTTTAGTGCTGTGTGCCTCATTTGAATGTTTTGTCACCCAACTGAATACAGGCATACCTCATCTCACTGTGTCACTTTATTGGGCTGCACAGATGTTGTGTTTTCTACAAATGGAAGGCAAGACCCTCCACCAGCAAAAACATCAAGACTCACTTTATTGCTTTTTATTGCTGTGGTCTGAAATCAAATGTGCAATATTTATGAGGCATGCCTGTAGTAAAAATCTCAGTTAGCCTTCAGATTTCAATTATGTGATGCCACTTGTCTAGTGGTTTTGAAAATCTAAGTGGTCAACTCATTTCTACACCTTTAATCTGAATATTCAAAACCACATAGTTTATAGCCTTGATTAAAAAAAACTAATGACATTGTGTTTTTCATTGTCTTCTGTTTTAGTAACTTTTCATGCTACTGTCTGACACAGTGTGTGGCACATAATACATGCTCCATATGTTTTTATTGTTGAGTAAATGCCACTGATTTCAATAATTCGAGAAAAGGTGTTGTGTCTGTCTTCAAATATGTATTTCTTCTTTGAAAATTAGTGAGTCCCTACTCTGTACCAGACACTGAACCACCAAAAGTAATGTGTAGCTCCAGCTTTCGAGGGATTCTGCACCTATTTTTACATTCTGTAAACCCTCCATCGAGGGATTTTAAGGGGAGTTTTTTGTTTTGTTGTAATTTTATATAGAGTAACAACACCTATAAACAAATGACTTCGTATCATCTATATCAGAAAAGAAGTAAGAACACACTCTCTAATGCAGCCATACATGACAACGATTGAAATACGTTTTGAGAGGTGCGATGTTAGGTGATTTCACTGTTGTGTGAACCTCACAGAGTGCACTTACCCAGTCCTGGATGGCACAGCCTACTACGCACCTAACTCACATGGTGTAGTGTATCATTCCTAGGCCGCAAGCCTGTACAGCATGTTACTGTACAAAACAACACGAGATTAAATCAGAGAAAATGATGCAACCCAGGGACACGGCAAACACAAGAAGTGTGAGGCTGCTGCCAGCGTAGCACGGTATACTGTTTGCAGCAAACAATTTTTTGTAAGTAGAAAGAGTACATCCTAAAACAATGATAAAAGTATAATATAGTAAATATATAAACCAATAACACAGTCGTTTATTACCACTATCAAGTATTATGTACTGCACATAATTCAGCACAGTACCAGCCCCACCACACACACGTGAGAGATGTATTGTGCTATGACTGTAGGATGGCTGCACCATCACTAGGTGAGAGGAATCTTTCAGCTCCATTACAGTCTCATGGGACCACTGTGGTACATACAGCCCGTCGCTGACTGAAACGTCGTTGACCGAAACATCGCTGAGCAGCACGTGACTAGATGAAGATGATGCCACTTGGTAGTCCATCATCAAAAGCACACATGCTTGGTGTTTTTGTTTAAATGGTAGTCACAGATTTGTCCTGATGCTTCTCTTATTTTCCTTTAATTGCTTTTCTGGCCATTATTTCAGAAGGATTGTCAGTGATTCTGGGACTCTTTTTGACTTTAAATATTTCTGAGAATGGCCTCCACTGCCACTAGTTAACTTTCTCATTGGTAAGTACAATTAGTATTGACTTTAAGATGTTAGTTAATGTGGTTTCTATTTAAAAGGCTGTGTTCCATATCTTCTGTTCTTTTTTTTTTTATTCTTTTTGGAGGGTTCATGATTATATATATATATACTAGAGGCCTGGTGCACGAAATTTGTGCACTGGGAAGCAGGGTGTCTCTCAGCCCAGCCTGCACCCTCTCGCAGTCCAGGAGCCCTCGGGGGATGTCCGACTGACAGCTTAGGCCTGCTCCCCATGGAGAGCGGGCCTAAGCCAGCAGTCGGACATCTTTAGCGCTGCTGCAGAGGCGGGAGAGGCTCCCGCCACCCGCCACTGCTCTTGCCAGCCATGAGCCGGACTCAGGGCTTCTGGCTGAGCGGGGCTCCCACACACTCACCACCAGGGGGCAGCTCCTGCATTGAGCATCTGCCCCCTGGTGGTCAGTGTGCATCATAGCAACCAGTTCTGCCATTCTTTCGATTTGCATATTAGCCTCTTATTATATAGGATTTTTGAAATCTTTATTGTGAAAGTATTTCATATATCCCCTTTCTCCCCCATTGACCTCTCCTAGCCCGTCCCCGCCCCCCACCCTAGGCCTTCACCACTCCATTGTCTGTGTCCATGAGTTATGCATATATGTATACAAGTTCTTTGGTTGATCTCTTCCCACCCACCCTCCCCTGCCTGTTCTTATTTCAAGGTTTACTTTGGATCTGTCTCCTCCGGGGAGTCCATGGTTCTCTGTTTTTCTGGGTGTGCATGGTCAGGATATATTGTTGAAAATCTTGGGGTTTCTTGCACCCAAGATTGCATCATCAAGCTGGAATGTCCTATGTGATGATTTAGTGCTGCCAGTGCCATGTATTTAATTGTATGCCCCTCCCTACCCCACTGCAAAAAAGAAACCAAGTTAAAAACTAGTACCCCCACCGCACACCCATTCCAGTGCTGCACGCTCACACCGCTCTTTACAACCTGAGCCTCATCTGGGATTGGGCAGTGAGGCCGATGATGTAAGAACATTACATAACCTTTCTTCCAGGAATTGTGGGGGAAAAAGAGCCCTGACTGTTTTGTAGTCATTTTTGGCATATTTTGTGAACAATACACAACAAAGAATTCTTATGTCCCTTTTGTTTCTGGCTAGTTTTCCCCACAGTTGTGGGGAAAATTCTTCTCTTTCCTTAACCCACTCTGGCTTCCTCTGGGCTCCCTAAGTCTTCGTACAATCATAACCAATGGAATGCTGTTCATGTGGTCAAAGCCCACTTTCTTCCAGTGGAGACCCAGTGAGCCCAGTGGGTAGAGCTTATGTCACCAGAAGCCTGAACAATACTGCAATTTAGTTAGATGCTCTCATTTTATTATTGTCCACCTTTTTTTTTTGGTCAGATTTTAAGATCTTTGGATCTATGGATCATGGAGTCTTCCGTGATCATCATTTTTTTTTTTAAAAGATGCTTATTCATTTAAAAAAGGCAAGTAGTAAACCTGAAAGCTCACTTTTTATTTATTCTTCTGTGTGGGCACAAAGCTGTTATGTGAGTTGGTAACTTGATCATGATTAGGAAATAAAGGTTGTTATGTTAGGGTCTTTTCTTGCCTTGGTCTGGGTATCTAGCTGGCCTCGTGGTAAATGGTGATGGTGAAGGTCATGGTGAAGGTCATGGTGATGGTCATTAGTGGAATTCACAGTGAGAGCATATTGAACTAAATGAGGGCCCTTTACATGTTCAGCCTTATTTCTTTACTGTCTTAATGTGAACTCGGGGCAGATTTTCCACATGCAATTCAATGTGTGCTTTTAAAAATCACACTAAATTCTCCAGAACTTGAAATATATTTGAGTGCTGGAGGTGGGACATCATCCCTGTATCACACATAAAGTGTATTTTCCCAGCGCCTGTGTCATAACCCTTCCTTCCCGCATTCATGCTGTCTGGTGTCTGAAAGAAGGTATCAATTTGGTGGAAGCAACTGGATTTGATTTTTGTGAAACTACTATGCAAAATTGATAGTATTTAGCAATTGTATGAGTATCCAGATTAACAAATACTGTTTGATACATTGGGATTCCCTTGGAATAGGGAATAGGACTTTATCACTTTGATTCTAAGAATATCCTATGAGGTATGCTATTTGGAGTCTTCCATGATCAGCAGTTAGTTAATCCATTTTGGATGAATAAGTGCTGTATATCGCTATGGCCCATAGAGAAGCAAAGAATGAACAACTTAGTCCCTGTTCTCTGGGTGTTGACCACCCAGTGAAGGAGTTAACAAGTGCACACACAGTGGGGAGAGTGTGATAAAGCTGCCATTGACTGATGCAAAGAGCTGAAGGGATCAGGAGGAGAGGGCAATCTATCCTAGAGTTTTCTCTTTGTCATATATGTGATGTGTTCCCAACATAAACCAAATGGTCAGTCACTTTAGGTCCTGTCATCACCATACGGTTTCTATCACTGTTTTTTCCTCCAATAGTTGCTCTTTGGTAAAACTTGGGTATCTTGGACTTCAGTTCTGGCTGAACATTTTGGAGAGCAACAATACTTATTAATAACTTGGCAGAATTGCTCATTGTTTACTACCCTGAGCTTCTAGAAAATTGTGACATTTAACTGCCTATTCAAACTATTCTGAAAGACCTTAGAGAGGAAGGGTAAAGCACAGGAACAGATTCAGGTTGAAAAGAAGAGATTACATCGACTTGCTGTCTTTTCTTATGCTACGTTTCATACAGTTTTCATCAACTATATTTGAACTAATGGCACTTACAGTTCTTTGACATACATAGAAGGAGCTCTTCCTCTTTTAGTCTAATATCCTCTCCATTCTGATTATGTTTATACTTCCGTGGAAGGAAGAAGACCCATACATTTGCATGTAAGACGCTCCTGCCCCAATAATTTGGGTAAGATTTTTGGGACTTCAAACTCTCTGAATTCCAACGAGTGGGCACGTGTGTTTCAGGAACCCAGGATGAGAACGCTGTAATTCAGAAGCCATTTCACCTCCTGGGGAAAGTATCTGAGGAGAGAACCCTTTGGGGCAGCATGAGGCCTTCTTGGCCATTTCTCTTTTCCTCTTGCTGATGTCAGACTGCTCATGGCCTCCAAGGAGAAGCTGAGAACTGGCTCAGAAATAGGCGTGGCTCTGGGGGGCCCCCCAAGTTAAAGAGCTGTGACCATGGCACAATGAAGACCGTTCTCCTTTGTGCTGTGTGGGGAGTAGTTCCCTGGCCTCAAAGGAGCACTCTGGACTTTAATTGTCTCTGGCATCACACCCTTCTTTCTTCCAAATTCTCAGGTTCACAGATTTCTGTGCCTACCAACGGGCCAGGAAATAAGTTTGATTCTAAGTGTAGCCGAGATCATTCTAATTGAGTAGTTGCAAATCTATAATAATAAAAGGGTAATATGCTAATTAGACTGGATGTCCTTCCAGACAGGCTACAAGGGAAGCCCAGGTCCCTGGTGCCAGAGGGAAGCCGGTGCCGGCAGCCGGGGGAAGGAAGGCCTACTCTTGCACGAATTTCGTGCATCGGGCCTCTAGTATATACATAAAAGGGAAGGAAGAAAAAGAATGGATAAGACTAGCCAATGCCCTCTTTTCTTACCTAAAATTGGAGCGTCTTTAGAATGACATTTGAAATCCAACCTTATAGCTCAGTATCAGTCTGATGTGGATCTTCTTGTAGAAATGTCTGGTTTTTTATAAACTTATTGTGTAGTAGAACTGAAGAGGTTATATGTTTTAAAGAGCAAGGTAAGCATCAGTGCAGAGCCTGGTCAGTTTTTAAAGTATAAAATAACCGCAAGCTTTTCTTTGTTACGGGTCATGCTCACTTAATAATGTGCCCAATGAATAACAGCGAGGCAAAGCGAGCAATTTAAAAGTTGAATTCCCCATTGAAATTCTTATCTTTTGCAAAACTTGCTTTACACGTGGTTAAGATTTGTAATGCTTTGCTGCAGAGAAAGCCCTCTTGAAATGCATTACATTGGTGGCTGCGGCTGTGTAGGTGGAGTAGGACTTGGTGTGCTGTGTTCATCAAGGAAACAGCACAAAACACATTCACATGCCGCTGAGAAACCCCCGTGGGTGTTGGTAACATTTGTACTATTAGAGCTTTGGCAGCATATCTTGGGCTGATCCTGTCTTAAACTCTCCCGGAAACTTAGAATTTCACCTTGAAAACGAAATTGCTTTTTCATTTTCACGATGGCAATACATGAATAAGGTCAGTACCGCCGTGAACATGGTGCGGCACTGTTGAGGTCGCTGGTTTTGTAGCCTGTACTCTGAACTTGACAGGGGATTGAAACCTGTCTTGTGGGCAATTTCTGAAGTATTTGAAGGGTTCCTCTCCAGCTTCTCTGGCCGGGATAGTTACCGAGTTCCTGGAACGATGCATATGCCAAGCACAGTGCTAGACAGATTTGGAAGGGAAGCGGGCTTCTGAGAAGGACATCTCAGAGCTCTCTTTTTATAGATAAAGAAACAGATCTTATGAGATGTAACCCTTCTGAGGTCAGACAGCTGGGGTCAGAGTTGAAGACTTGATTTCAAGCATTTTGACTTAACAGGAGCACTGAGTTCACCCCTGGCCATTCTGCTTTCGTGGAAGCATAGCATAGTCACTATAATACACTACTTCCGTGGCAGGCGTTTTATAAACGGGCATCAAAACAAAATTTTAACTTCAAAGTTGTTAGATTTTTAAAACTCTCTTGGAAATTAACATTTGACTAAGACATTTTAGGATAGTGGCATTCTTATGATGTCTAACTTTTTTAAATGGCATGCTC